AGTGGGAGAACTTGCACAATTGGTGGCTGACTAAATACTTTTTTGCCCCACTGTACCTACCACACCTTAGTATGGACAGAAACCCAGAGCAAGGCCTTCGGGCTCAGATGGGAAAATAAAGGAAACAATGTCCCAGGATTTGTTACAGGACCCCTTCTAGGAGTTTTTTCAAAGGGAGAGTGAGATAAAAATACTTTTGCCATTAGCCCATGGCAAGAAATACCCCCTTACTCACTGCTATTGGGTGAAATTAGTTATTTCCACTTGTTCCTGTAAAAACACTGTGAGAAGAAAATGACTATGTGCTACAAGAAAGAAATTGATTTAAGGTACTGAAGAAAGGCTCAATTTCTTTCGTTATAGCAGGCAGTCATATCAGTGAATGCTTTTAAAAGTCTTTGGTGAAAACAGCTTCCTTAGTGCTTGATAATGGTTGCAAATTGTTAAATAAAGTATAATAATTAGTCCCCTGCCTCTAGTTCCTTCACCCTTCCTCTGCATTTTTTGGGTCAAATTTTAAATTTCATTTTGAATTATATATAAATAAAATGATTTCCACACAGATTCACATAAATCTAACAGTTGGAATAAGAACTGTAACTTTGGAAAACTCATTCCTGGGATGCATTTAAGAATATGAAACACAAGTTGAAAGAAGATAGATATAGCAAAAATGTCTGACGTACAATCTTTTCTGTGCAAAGGTACCTTACAATATGGAGAGGATTTTTTGGCTATTTTCTGGATCAGATAGTAATTTGGTCAAAAGTCTGATGGAAGAATTTTATACTACTAAGAAAGTAAAACTCCCTTCAGAGTTGCAAAATAAGGTTAGTTTTGTTTTGATTCCTTATTCAAAAGTACTGATTCCTGCCCTTGTTCACTTGTGGAACCTCACTTCCTCTGTCAGGATCCAGTCTGTGTACTCTTCTCAAAGTTGATTTAATTAAACTAATAAAACTTTATCCATGTTATCAAAGTGGAGGAGTTACAGTTTTAAATTAGCTTCAGTGTAATTTGTTCTTCAGAAATTAGGAAAACTAGTTTTATGTTAGGCCTACTCTATTGCTACAACTTTGTGGGGAAAGTTGTTGAGAAGGTGATTGGGCAGCAGTTGCAGAATCTTGGTGGAAACGGATTATCTGGACCCATTCCAGCCAGGCTTCAGGCCAGGGTATTGTACAGAGACAGCATTGGTCACATTTGTTGACAGTCTGTGATGGAGCCAGGATGGAAGTGGTGCTCCTTGATCTCTCAGCAGCTTTCAGCGTTGCTGACCATAGTATCCTTCTGCATTTGCTGTGGGGGTTGGAGGTGGGGCACTGTGTTACAGTGGGATTGCCTCCTTCCTCTGTCAGTTCAGGGTTTGGTTCATCACTACGTTGATGACACCCAGTTGTACATCTCAACTGCAGGCTGGGCAAATGAAGTTGTCAGTGTACTGACCCAGTGTTGGAGGCTGACTGGGTCTGGATGGGGAGGAACAGACTTTGGCTTGATCCTGGAAAGACTTAGCGGCTGTAGCTGTTTGAGCCCCTGTGGTTGGGGACTTTTTTACCTTTCGTCTTGGATGGAGTTGCACTTCCCCACTTGAGATTAGTGTGCAACTTGGGGGTCCTCCTGGACTTGCAGCTACTACACAATGAGCAGGTGGTAGCTGTGGCCAGGAGGACCTTTGCACAGGTCCATCCTGGGTACCAGTTGCACCCTTTCTTCGACCAGGAGACCCTTCAGATGGTCACTCACACCCTAGTCACCTCACGAATGGCCTATTGCAGTGTGTTCTACACAGGTCTGCCCTTCCAGACCATCTGGAAGCTATATCTGGTTTAAAATGCAGTGGCACAAGCAGCATTGGGCACTTCTCATTATGCCCATGTGTCATTGCTGCTACGTGAGCTGCTACATGAGCTATCAGTTGCCTTTTGGGTGCAGTTCAAGGTTCTGGTCTTTACCTATAAAACCCTTCATGGCATAGGGCCTGGTTATTTGTGGGACAACCTGTCCAGTGCATTTAGGCAGAGTGGGTGTGCTCCAGGTCCCCTTAATTAAACATTGCTATCTAATGTCTTCTGTGTTTTGGTCCTTGCCCTCTGGAACAGCATTCCCCTGGAGTATGCTGAGCTCCCATTATCCTGAGGTTCCAGAAGTCTTTTAAGACCTGGCTTTGTTCCCAGGCCTGGGATTAGGGTGGCTGTGGAGCTCCTGTTAAGTCTTTCTTGTGTGTTGGGCGTGTTTTAGTCCAGGTTCTCATGTCGTTTTTAGTTGTGTTTTAGCATATGTATTGGACATACTGTAAGCCACCCAGAGTCTTCTTGGAGTTTGGCAGCCTTAACAAATCCAATCAATCAATCAATGCCCTAGGCTTAAAGTTTTAAGGTTTAAAAGTATGTCACCAGCAATGTCGATCTTGGCATATGTTGTTACTTTTGTCCCACTCATCCATATTAACAGATTTTGCTTTTTTTGAAATTTCAATGAGGGTGAACATGCGTGTCTGAGCAATTTCTTAGTGTCAACAATGAAACACTTCAAAATAATTTAAAACTGAATAGAATGGGGACAGTAGATAACCAGGGAGTATATAAATGATAAACATTTCAACTTGGCAACTTGGAATTTTGAGTTGGACTGGAATTGTAAACTTCACATCCCAGAATTTGGTAGAATTTGCCTAGTGACTCTACTTTAGAAGGGTGGCCAAATGATTGCATGAAAAAAAAAATCCTATGAACTTTGCCTCCAACTCCTTGGAGGAACAATAAGATTTAAAAACCAGTGGTATTGAAATGAGTGGTTAATTGTTATACTTTTTCACTGGCTGGTTGAAGTCTCAGTTTCTTTATGTGATTGCAGCTCTTTGAAGGTGTGAGATCTTGCAAAATTTCAGATGAAGAAATTATTCAAACCATGAAACACTGCTGGGAGGACAACCATTACCTTTTGTGTCCCCATACGGCTGTTGCTGTTTCCTACCATTACAAGTATGCCAGCTGCCGTCCAAATATGTAAGGAGAAAATTACACTCTGTATGAAAAAATATGTAATATGTCTCTAATATTGGCCACTTTCTATCCTCAGATAGGGAGGTTAATGTAATTACCAAGTTATGAAATGGATTCAGAGAATTTAAGGCCAATTAGCTTGATATCTGTTCCAAGTGAATTGATTGAAAGCAATGTATTTAAAAATTTGTTGAAGATGATCAGCATTATTTTTGCAAAGGTAAGCCATGTTTCATTAATCATTTAGATTTCTCAGAGGGTGATCCAGGAGGAACTGTGTACAAAATCCCTCAATGGTGTCTTAATAAATCTAGTATTTATAAGAGGACAGAATCTATTTATAGATTAATAACTTCATAAAGGAATAAATGAATGTAGGCAACCTGATATCCAGATGTGTTTGAACTTCAACTTTTATCAGTCCCAGTAGTATGGCCATTAGCAAGGGATTACGAGAGTTACAGTCCTACCACTAGAATAAATATACAGTTAATGGAGAAATATAAATAGTAAGGCCTTCACTGAGACCAGTCTTTTTAATTAATTCATACATTGGAATTGGAATAAATATAAACAATAAGGTGGTGAAAATTTTTGATGACACCAGATTATTTGGGGATTAAAAACAAAAAAAACTGATGAGTTCCAAAAGATGTCTTCAAACATCATTTGGAACATGGGACAACAGAATTGCACTTCAATGTAAATAAATATGAAGCAGTAGTGAAAAGGAAGTTGGAATCCTAATGTATACAGCAGGTAAGTGTCCAACTGCTGCGAAAAAGAGTGAATTACATATTAAGGAACATTAAGGAAAAATAGCTGCCAGTGGTGCTTTTATAGTAAATCCATCTATGTTGTGACCACAGTTGAAATTCTGTGTAGTCATTGCAATTCAAAAAAAGGGGTTGCAAGGTTGGACAAAGCGAAAAAAGAACCGCCAAAAGAGCACTTTGAGAAACTACCATGCACAGCACCATCCTGGTGCTTTTTCCATTTATCCAAGTGGGGCACAGAAATGTTCTGGAGCAAGCGGGTCCTCCTGAAGCAAGTGTGAGTCCTCCTATAGTCTCTGGTCCATTGCTTGGAAATGGTCTGATGTCTTTTTTAGTAGCAGAAAAAGCTTTATAGCAAAGTCCCATTTTGATTAGTCCCTGGTAAGCAGGTGAAGGAATGCAGCCTTGCAGTCTTGCTACATAGATGTGCCTGATGTCTTTCTTACCTTCACGACAGCTGGAGATGCTGCTTAGCTCCTGCCTCTCCTATCAAGTTTGAAGATGCGATTTGCAAAGCTAATCTCTCTCTGGAAGTCTCAGCTGAGATCAGCAAGCTGAAAGATATGGAGACCAGGTCTTGTACTCTGAAGAGAGGGGAAGACTGGGTTAAAATACTGCGGCGGCGTATAGAAGAAGGTACCAAGCAAAGATACAGCAACCAGAGTTGAACTTGCGGGAAGAATAACTGTATGCAGAAGCTCCACGATAGTGGTGGTGTTGCTGCTGCTTTTGCTGATTAATGAAAAATAGTTTTGTTACAATAAACCTATGCAAAATTGCTAACAGTGATATTAGACTTTAATCCTACAGAAGAAAAAAAGGAAAGTGAGCTGCGAGGTAGGCTTACACTAATAATATTGACATCCTTTACCAGAAAGATCTAACTTTTCTAAATTCTATTGACTTTGGAGACTTTCGCCTGTTCCATCTTGGCATCCAAGAGAGCATTTTGTGGGTGACCTGCAAATGTTTATATACATATAATTTACCCTTGCAGTATACCCTTTGAGGCTGAATATGCCCAGTTTTCACAATAACATACTGCACTAATTTTGTATTTATGGGACATGCTGGTGAGGTCCCCAATCTTTTCCTTTATATTATCGTTGAAACTTTGATGACTGTCATATTAGTCAGGTATCAACAATGCAGTGTTGACAGAGATCGTGACAAATGTGTACCAATCCCTAGGTTAAATAAAACCATATTTCTAATTTAGAATTATCAGTTGGTATTCAGGTGCAATCCAAATCACCTATCAAGCCCTTCATGGCATGGGGCCTGATTATTTGGGGGACTGCCTGTTTCTAGTTGTCTAATACAGTCAGGCAGAGTGGGCATGCTCTGGGTCTCATTGGACTTTCTTTGGTTTTATGTTGTTTCTGTGGCCATTCATGATAGTTGTGTTTTGTATTTTTTTAAAATTTGCAATTGTAAGCTGCCCTGATTTGTTGGGAGTCAAGCAGTCTATAAATTGGAGAGAGTATAGAGGATGACCTTGACAAACAGAGGGAAGATCGTTTGCCAAGGCACTGATCAGATGAATGTGGATTGAGCCCATAAAGTAGTTTATGAAAACATCTCAGACAGCTTCCCTCCCTCCAATTCACATGAAGATAAAAGAGGGAGGAGGGGAAGCACATACTTGCAAGATTCTGTTACTACTATATAGCTGTTCTTTTTATATAATTTTATTGAAAAATTTAAACACAAGAATAAGACTAATACAAACTAAAATAGAGTGAAAAAGAAAAGAAAAAAAGGAAAGAAATGAAAGAAAAAACTAAGTGCAAAAAGAAATAAAATAGCAAAAAATAGAGAAGAAAGAAGAAAGATATAAAGAACTGGCTTTCAACCTTTACAGCAGTTATAAGTACCATTATAAATTGACCTCTCTCTCTAACTACTGTATAGTTGTTCTACTGAAAGCTATAGGCACGCATGGTGTCTGTTCCTTTGCTGGTCAACCTTATAGAGCTGACAAAAATATACCTTCAGAGCATGTTCAGCACTTTATGCTGCTTTTTTTGACCTAGTATCCAGACCCATATCATGGGAGAAACTGAAGAACTCTTCTATAGATGTGTGGCTACCTTTACTAATCTAAAGCTCTGTGAAAACTCCTGGCTTGAAGGTATGATGTAATGTGCATGGATATTACACAATGGAAATTCCAGTCAGAAAAAATGAGAGACAAGGATGTATTTTGGGCCCTTTACTATTTATCTGTTAATTAACTCTTGCAGCCAATTGAATAATCCAGCCATTTATCCTCCAAAATTGGGCAATAGATATTTCAGTCCTCTATGTTGATGATGCCTTACCTTTCTCATAGATCCGGATTCACTTGAGGAGGTGCCCTCTACACTTATTGAGTACTGCTGTAAAGAAATTTTCAAAATCAATTGCTATAAAACTAAGATGATGGTGTTTGCCAAGTGTCATAAATCCATGTGTGGTACTCAAACAACCACCTGTAGAACAAGTTTGGGGCTTTAAGTACCTAGGCACTGTTCTACATGCCACTGGCAAGTGCAAAGATCATATAGATAGATAGATAGATAGATAGATAGATAGATAGATAGATAGATAGATAGATAGATAGATAGATAGATAGATAGATAGACAGGCTAAAATTTGAGCTCACCTTTTTGGATCCTATATAGGTAATTCATTCCATTAGAAAGAGTTCAGTCCCAATTTCTGAGGACTACTTTCCAGGCCCCCAATGTATCCCAAACATGGTTTTGCACCAAAAAGTTGGTCTGTTTTAGACAGAAAATTTGCCTGATCTTATATTCTCCTATTGGCTCAAGCTGCTTTTTTTTCTGGTTGGGCTGGCTCCATTAACTTTGACTGATCACTTCACTTCCTCTTGGATTTGGATGCTTCACAAGAAACTAAAAACTTTAGGTTTCTCATTTACTGTTAATCTTCCAATGGACTATGAGCACGCACAATGGAAATTCGCGTTTACTGCCCTCAAGCAATGCATTTTAGATTTGGAACTTAGCTGGATCAATCTGAATCCTGCCCAAAAGCATTTTTGGGGAGCAGTCTCTCTCATCCATTCTAACCAGCACGATATCTCAATCAAATAATGATTCCTAAGTTTAGGAGGGCTTTCTCTTTGGCCAGATTTAATGCCCTCCCAGCAGCCATCGCTGAGGGGAGATGCCAGGATATTCCATTTGAGCAAAGGCAATCCCCCTGTGGTACAGGAGTAATTGAAAGGCTGAGTCACATTGTACTATACTGTCCCTATTATGCTGTTTCATGCCAGGATCTGTTACCTCCATTTCTGGCTGTTCAGATTTATTTTATCTTCAGCTATTACTATCTGGCCAATCTGACTCTGTCTCACCAAATGTACCCAAATGCTGTTGGCTGCCTGTAATCTTCACTGTAACCTATCAATAAGTACCTTTAGATCTCCTCCTTGCTGATTACTTGTTTGTTCTAGTTTATTTCAATTAGATAATTACTCACATTTTGGTTTCATAGTTCTGTGTGCCTTTGTTTTTGTTTTTTCCCCCACTACCTACCATTTGGAGATTGGATATTTAATTACTTAGTTTACTTTGAGCTGGTCTGTGACTGCTGTACACTGAACTGAACTGAAATAAACTAACTGTATACAGTAAACAAACAAAAATCCATGCCCATCTTTTGAACTTTCCAGAAAATCTAAGTATGAGTCTGAATGGTGGGCTACGTGTCCTGTTTGGCCAGGCAATTCCACTGTTCTTGGAAGAAGCTCAGAGCAATTTATATAGTCTATCAACTCTATGTGTTTTCTCCACACTTCTTCCAGTGAGATAGATGATTTGAAGAGGTCACAACTATCCTACAGATCAACAAACTGCTTTTTTAATAAGCTGTGATAATTTCTCTCAAACCCAGTGCTATAATTTGAAATAAAATAAAAGAAGCAAATATACATATGGGATATGAAAGTTGTGTGACAAATGTCCACAAGGAGGCAGAGTAACTTTAGCTTTGATTTATTTTGCTGACAGAAACCAGGCTCAATTCTGTTGCTATTTCATGGCTTAAAGTAGCTGAGCCTAATTTTTGGACTTTCTTGCTTCTGTATCACCCTGATAAAGAGTGCAGAGAACTCAACAGCTTGCACACTCTTTGTATTAGTTGGTTGATCCTTACCTGGCTACAGATTTTTATTTTTTTTTCATTTTCCCACCATATATCAAATTTTCTGTGATTGCCTTTTACAAACTGAGTGTATGCGCACTGTTCTTTCTAATGATTGAATTTCACTAACATGTAAAAATACTGGATTAACTCTGTTATTGTCTCCCCTGCCCCATCCCCAAAAGTGTTTGATCAACACTGGAATGAAATTTCTCTTGTGTTGTTAATAGGGGCTATCACAGAAAAACATAGCTGAGAAAATTTCCCTCTGTACCTCCATCCTGCATACATTTTACTTGTTAAATATTGTTTATTTCAATCTGATTCTGAAGTAGGCCAAGAAAATTCTAACTGCTGCAAAGTGTTCTTGGGCAACACAACCGCATTCATATATGCTCCATGAAGAGACAAAAAATACAGTTGTCTATATGAAATGTATCTGGTAGGAATCACTGGTAGCGACTCCATTTCTTTATTTCTTCCCCTTCTGCAAATACATTGGACTACAGTTCCCATTATCCTGCTTTGAAATGCTGGCTGGAAATAATTGAAATTGAAATTCACTATATTTGCAGGGCACCAGATTACCAAAGGCTATGCTGGATCACTGAGACAAGTTGTGACTATTTGCTTTAGTTTAATTAATTAATTAATGTTTTAGAATTAATTCTTTTGCTGGAACACATCAGTACTCCAGTAGGATACTCTTCAGTTTAAAATGAAGAAATAAAGTAAAAAAGAAAATGGCTCAGCTTTTTCCAAAAACTTACCTTTACTCCTTAGAATGATACAAAAAGGAATGCAAAAAAAGCATTATAAAAGTGGACTTCCAGTGGAGGCATGGTGAGTTAAACACGTCTCCATGGAAAGCAGAGACAACCACCGTGGCAATGACTGCAGAATCAGTGAGTAGACCCGTTCTTTGGAACCTCCCCGGACAAGGAAAGGACAGGAGATCACGCGCATGTACTCGAGATGGCTGCTCCTCATGAGGAGACCACAAGACAGTGATTCCCCATGGGTTTGAGTGCTGGGAGACAAAGAGATCAATCATCAAGTTTACCACCACAGCGGAGCCTTTTAAAGGAAACTAGGTTCACTAACCTCGCTTCTAATCACTTTCAGAAATTGCCTATTTAACTATCTTAAGTCTATTAGGGATCTTCAGAATGACAAGTTTGAAAAGCCACCTGGTGAGTCTATCTTCATTTCTGAACAAAAGAAAAATTATAACTTTTTTATAGTGATTTTATTAAAGATGATAATTACAACAGTTAAAAACTAATAGAAACTAAAAGAATAAAAAGAAAGAGTAGAAGGTGCAGAAAAGAAAAAAAGGAAAAGACAGAGAAAAGAAAGAAAAGACTA